CACCCCTCGAGCCAGGGCGGGTTTAGGGTTTAGGAGTGTCACCCCTCGAGCCAGGGCGGGTTTAGGGTTTAGGAGTGTCACCCCTCGAGCCAGGGTGGGTTTAGGGGTGTGGTCTTTGGATGACAGCGACATGTTGCTCCCAGCTTTTGTAAGGCCACCGAGGCCTGGGGACGTCTTCCCCGAGCTCAGCAAGCCCCGGAGAAAGGGGAGGTAGAGTGCCCTTCTTCCCAGCGTGACGCACAACACATCGCTTCCCAGGCTTCGGCGCAGCCCCGGGCCCCCAAGACGCCTGGCTGAGGCCTGGGTACCAGGTGCTGGGGGCCGGGACAAGGCCCCTGAAAAGGGCAAAGTCAGGACGGTGCAGGCAGGCGAGGAGTTGGTGTAGCTGAAAACACGGCTTCCTCACTCAAACCTCTGCGTCGTAGGTGTCTGTGTGTCATCGTATGACTTGTATTTGTTAAACCTCTACCCAGTCATATTTTAAATGCCTCTGAAGTTCATGAATGTGCACAGCTGCTTCCCTTACAGATCTCCATCTTTTCAAAACCTGTGTATATCTGCAGGATCCTGGGAAGCTGATTGAAATGGAATGTCTGGAGTGTGAATCAGAAGCTTTAAGACTTGAAAATCAGATGAAAATGTACATCCGAGCGGCTGTTGAGGTCAGGAGTCGTACACCTGGCATTATTTTGCAGATTCCGGGAACTCGGTGCGAGTTGAGTGTGTCCCAGGCTTGAGGGTGCCGGGGACACGGCCTGGACCCCACTGCTGGACTCGCCCTGGCTCCCGTGACAGTGGGTGTGAGTCCAGCCTCCAGTGCCACACTTCCTCTCCCACGCACAGGGGCCCACAGGCCTCCTTGGTGGGTTGGGGTCGTACAGGTAGGGGCTGGGATGTGACTCCCTCTGACCCTCCTCCTGCAGCCCCTGCAGAGCTGCCCCCTCCCCGCCATGTGGTGATGCCTGCCCGGGAGGACAGGGGGACGGCCATGCGTCTCCACGAGGGCTTTCTGCCAGCCTCACTTGAGTCCGGGAAGGCGTCCTAATGACGAGGGGCAGAAGCCACCGCCGGCCCTGGGGTCAGCTGCCAATTATAGGCACGTGAGCCTGACCCACCTCCGTCCTGCTGTCTAAGACGGCAGGCTCCGGAATAGCAGCCACTGCCATGAAAGGATTTAGAAATCATTTTAGACTCTTCCTCAGTAAGAATTTCCCGGTTAAAAGATGAACAAAAACCTGACAGAATGGAGGTACGCAGCCCTGACATGGTGTCACGGCAAGTGTGGCGGGTCGGCCCGGGAGCCCTCGAGTCCTGTCAGCCAGGCAGTACAAGGCCCCGCTGGGCACAGAGGAGCCAGGGGCACGTGGGTCAGTGCCGGAGGTGCCGGGGCGGGGGATGAGCAGGGCAGCTGGGAGGCCTTCCCTGCCCCCACTCCTAAGGCACCCACCCTCAGCCCGCACTGCCTGGCGCATGTATCACGGCCCGGCAGGCGCCGACGCCTCTGTGGACTTGCTCCTGGGTCTGCCTCCGCGGGGCTGAGCGTCTTGTGGGAGGTTTTTGACTGTTGCTGTGCACTGGTGCCAGGCATGTGGTAGGCGCTTAATGAGAGTTCATTTAAGGAATGATTTCCAGACACTTTGGCTGCTGCACTTTGTCGTGAAAGTGAACAGAGGCTGCTTGTGGCTGTGGCACTGTGGGGTGTACGGCTGCTTCCCCCGCCTCACCTGCTGAGGATCTCAGTGGGGCTGGCACCGGCGTACGAGGCTTTCAGACCCAGCAGCCAAGTGGCAGGATGGGGTTGTGAGGTGCAGGCTCCACCCAGCCCAGGGGCAGCATGAGGGCGAGGCCCCTGTGGAAGCCACAGGCTGTGGGGACATGGCCAAGTGAGCCCAGGGCAGTGGGCGGCCCAGAAGGGCTTGTGGGAGGTGGGAGTGTGGGGAGACTGGCTCCACTGAAATCCTGGCCTAAGCCTTTGTCCTGGAAAGGGCCCGTGTAGCACAGACCGGAGGAGACATTCTGGGGGTGGGAAGCGTCGTGGGCACAGGCCCCTGGAAAGAGATAGGATCAGGAAGGGAGCAGCCGCCACTGAGTCCACACACGGGAGGCGGGCGCAGCCACGATATGTGCGTACTGCCAAGCCTCCTGCGTGTACTATCTTGTGAGACATCCACTTCCTCCTAGAGTCACTCTGGCCATTTTCACGGAGAGATTTGAGCATGGCACCACGCAGGGTGATGAATTTAGGGCCTGAGTTCTCAGCGTGCCCTGCACATGTCCCACCCCAGCCCTGCAGCTCAAGCCAGCAACCTCCATAGAATCGCCCACGTCTTCTCCGCAGGCCCAGCTAGATATCATACAGAGACTAAACGTCGCGCTGCAGCGAGCCGTCCGCCTGGGCGACCCCCGGGTCATCCACGTGGTGTGCACCACGCAGTGGAACACCTGCCTGCCCCTGCTGCAGCACAACCTGCGGCACCACCTGCGGAAGCCCCTGGCCGACGTCGCGGATGTGCTGGAGAAGGTGGACAGGTGGGGCGCGCACCTGTGCCGTGTCCTCCACAGAGCGGGTGGTGCATGAGGAGACAGAGGAGGAGAAGGTGGCCCAAGCCCCCTTGCCATGCCAGTGCCACAAGCAGCAGACTCCCCCCGTACTCAGTAAGGGCCACCCTCTGTCTCTGCTCAGGGCCAGGCATGCCGGGTCCTCTGTGTGGAGCACTGGTGGGGCCAGAGGAAGAAGCAGGCTCAGCTGTGCCTCACGGGCATCTGTGCCCCTCAAGCCTCCATTGAAGGGGACTGTCATGGCCACAGAAGCTGAGAGTGGGGGGCTGGTTGTGGCCCCATGGGACTTGGGTCATCTTGGGTGAGACAGGAGTGCTCAGAGGGCCCAGCGTCCCGGAAGAGCATGGTGTGTCCTCGGGGTGACAGGAATGCTGGGGCCAGCGTGGTAGCAGGTGGCAGGCATCAGGGTGGGCCATGGCGGGCAGGCGGCAGGCGTCAGGGTAGGCCATGGCGGGC